CTTTTTTTTCTACTTTTTTACAAAATAATCTATAAAAAATATTCTAATTGATATATCAACAAATGAATGCACAAAATTGTTAAGATAAATATTGCAAGCACTATGAAAAAAACTTTTTTTGAAAATATGTTAAAATAAAAAAGCCTTAGGGATTTAAAAATTTAGAATTTTATCAACTTTTTTTAAAATTTACAAAAAATTAAACAGTTTAATCATTTTTTGAAGATAAATTATTGATTATAACTTAAATGAGCATGTAAAGCATCCTCAAAATGAATGATCATACCTTTATTTTAAAAAATTTTTGCAAAGGTACTGTGACCCCTTAACCTCTCAAATTTTATTGGGAGGAAAAATCACTACTCTCAAATCTTTGTCAAAATTGTGTTTTTATTTTTTCTGTTGTTGCATAAAGGTAATCCCATTGTAAGGCAATCAATGAGTAAAAGGAATGACTGTGATTCCTTTTGTGCTTTGCTATTGGTCTGGCACGGCCAATGACCCAAGTTGCTTTTGAAAGAAAATTAGCAGCTTAAATATAATAGCGTCTGAAGTGTCAGCTTTGGAGCAATTGGATGATCTGTCCAGATTGTTTTTAAAGGACACATTTTTCATGACGCCGGTTAAGGTGTCAATTGTTTCCAAGTTTGAAACATGCCGTTAATTAGTAGGGTAAAAAAAAAAACATTTAAATTTGATATAATTCATATGTTAGTATAATTCGTTTAATTCATATGTTAGTTATAATACAATCTATGTTATAAAATAGCAGTAATTCACAAATCTAATTTGTTCAAAACTTCATATAAATGAATAACAATATATTGGATAAATCATAGTTGAATCTTAGCAACATTCCAGCTAAATCAAAATTTTATTTCTTCAAATTTAATTCCAGATGGAATATTTACCATCTTTAATAATTAAAATATGTATTTTAACAGAATGCAATTAGCATTTATTAAATAAACAAGTTGTTAGCGCTTTTTGCATTCAGATCTTTATAACTTTTCTTATGGGTGATTATTTCATTTGCACTAAGTTTTTTGATGTTATATGTTTGGAAATTAACAAAGTGAAATAAACTGAAGTATATGTGTAAAATTTATTATGCTTATAATTAGAATAAATTAAATTCTAGTACATTTAATACTAAATTACATTTTGTGTACTTTAATTCTGTAGTTAGGAAATTGCTGAAAACTTCTAATGTCAAGCATTTTAGGCAGAAGAAAAACTTTTTAAAAAAATAACTTGTAGTTCATTTTAAGGCAAGTTTTAAAGTTAATTGATGCTCTATATTTAAAAAAATTTTATGGTTGAAATATTTCAATTCAGATATTTACATTATACGTATATCATCGTTTTCAAGTTAAAATTTTAAGAGCCACAATTAAAAAACGTGATATCTATGTATATTTTTATTTTAGCTTATGTCTCAAGCTAAAGGTGAAGGTGTTGTTGATGAAATTAAGCTAGATGTTCATGCTATATCTGACCTTCAATCCAAAGGTGTTCCTGCTACAGATGACTCTCCTAAATACTCTTATCGCTCTCTATCTGACAGTATGGACTCAAAATATGGTTAGTTCTTTTTTTCCTCATGGTGATGTCATGGTGTAACTAAGTACTTATATGTTATGTATGTGCCATCACCTGTGGGTTTTTTTTTTTTTTGTAGTGCATANGCCATCACCTGGGGTTTTTTTTTTTTTTTTGTAGTGCATATCTCTGCATGTTTAATTAATATCTCTCTTAAAGTCTAGAACCATTGCATCTCATTTTTAATATTTGTCAACTGAAAACTCATAACCCTTTTGCTTTGAAGAATAGTTTTGTAATGCATTTTACAGTGAAACCTCTCAGCAGTTCCAACAGCACTCAACCACTCTCTGTTAAATGGTCATTAATAGAGGTTGGTCTTTCTTAGGGGTTAAAGTTTGCATTTAATTTTATATCATAAAAATGAGTTAGCTTTAAAAAATAGGAAGAGTTTTGTTTGTTTGAGATTAGTTTTTAGAAAAATAGTTTTTCCCCTCCTAATTCAATTTTCAATTCTAAAAATAAATCATTGGTAGTGTCGTCTTTAGTGCACTCTGACTGCAACATTAAGTTGTAGATCTCTTTCAGAGATCGTCAAAAAGGCTTTCTGAATAATAATCACTGACAAATATTTTGAGCTCGTTTAATCTACATAATTGTTTTAATATTTATTTTTGTTATTTTTTTAGTGTTTCCTTATTTGGCCTTTTTGCGCAATTTGTGCAGAGGTTTGCCCGGTCGCTGGGAGAGGTTTTGATGGTCTCTCGTAAAAGTTTTCTTCAACGCAAAGTCTATGTAAAAAAATTTATGCCTCCCAAGAGAGGTCGCTACATAGAGGTGGTTCTCCTGGAGGTTTCACTGTATTTGATTTATTTTTCTTCCTTCATAGATGACAACTGATTTTTGGTATTTCAGAATTTGATTCCTGTCTGGGCACTGTCTTAGCATTAAGAATTCAAAAAGCCTTCACTGACCATGTTGAAAATGGTCAAGAGTGTGGTATCATATTAGATAGAACCTCATTTTATGCTGAAGCTGGAGGCCAAATTTATGATACAGGCTTCATGGTCAAAGAGAATGATGAGGTATAAGCATGTGTAAACCAATAATTTTCTTTTTGGTTATGTTTTTTTTTATGCAATTAAGTAAATGGTTTTCTACTTCAATATTCTAAGCAAAGCCTTTTGTTTTTGCTAGAAAATTATTTATTTGTTCTAGATCTGCTTAGGCTACTGGAACAATTTCATTTAAATTCATCCTAAAACTGGCATTATAATTATTGCATCTTTTTTATGTTGTAATGATATTTTGATTTATTTAAAGAAAAAAAATATCTAAAGATCAAGTTATACAGTTTTTTGTTACTATTTCAATATTCTTATATTTTAAAGCAGCAACAATAAAATACAAAAATAATATTAATATAACAAAGCAGGGTGAAAGTTTACCCTCTAATAACTTACAAATTTTATGTGGGGATAGTCGAAATTTTTTTTTATGATATTACATCTGAATATATTAACCACTGTTACCCGTTTTTTACTGATTTGTAACCTATATCTGTTGTAACTTTTTGTTACAATCTAAAATTTGAAATCAATCATTAATTTCTTGTGTTAATTATTAGACTTGCTACATCAAATATGATAAATATAAAAGTTTAATAACCATGTCACAATATTGATTTTCACTATTCTAAGAAATAAAACAACTTGTTTTTATCTAAGGAAAAACAAATCATATTGTTTTTCAACCACCACATTAAGTCAATCATTGGGTCTTGATATTGAAAATAAAAAAAGGGGAGGAAAAACTTTTATTTTTCATTCAGCATGAAACTTGGGGGAAAAAATTCTTTCAGCTTTAGTTTATGTTGTGTGTAAAGACAGATGATTTCTATCTTAATGTTTGTTGTTTTTATCTGTAGGATACTGAATTCACTGTTAAAGAAGTCCAACTTCAAGGTGGTTATGTTATACACTTAGGTACACTTTGTGGCTCAGTAAAAGTTGGAGATAAAATGAAACTAATGATAGATGAGGTAATTTTGTTTAGATTTTTTTTAAAATTATTCTTTGTTCTTAATATCAAAGAGAAACTTAGTTTACTAATACAATTATTTAACTTATCATTTCCTCTACCATGCACTCAAACAAAAAAAAAAAAAATATTTCAGTGAATAAATTGCCTAAAATTTATTTCTTTTCGTAATCAGCATTTAATGTATTTTCACCTTGAAATATAAAACTTTTTTTTCGATCAATTGAGTAATAATTTTTAAAAATTATTATTTAAAAGTTTCATCGCTATTTTTTCCTCTTTTTTAAAAATTTTATTTGTCAGTTTGATATAAAAATATCAAACTTATATTTTTCAAAATCAACAAAAGTACTGTTTTTATAAGTTAAATTTTTTGCTCTCTAATGCTAATCAAACTCTTTCCACCCAATTGTGATTTAACACCTACAAAACATGTAGTCTCTTTAAAATATATCTATACACACACATCAAGAAACAGTTTTTAATGTTCGGAATTAGTTTTGTCCCTTTAAGAAATTTTATTTCATTTAACAAATGATTTTATTTACTTTTTTATTCTAGGAAAGGAGAAAGCTGGTAATGAATAATCATACTGGAACACATATCTTGAATTTTGCTCTTAGAAAAGCTTTAGCAACCGAATGTGATCAGAAAGGTTCATTAGTTGCACCTGACAGACTAAGATTTGATTTCACTAACAAGGTAGGAAAATAATAAACTTCTTTTATTTGCATTATGATGAATCAATTGACATAGCTTTTCAAAATTTTATTGCCAGCATCGACCAATGGTTTTTAAATTTTTATTTTAATGTTTTCATGCTGTGGGCAATGCCACCACACTAAAACTACAGAAGGGTAATTGTGTATTTTTGTGAAAATAAGTCATGGTGTTATTCATAATTACTCCAACTTTTGAAATTTTTTTTAAAAATTAAATATTGGTTCTTGTTGACTTTACACATTGTATTTCATCTGTAACAGTCAGTCAATTTATTTTTTAAAAAAAATTACAAATATCTAAGTTATTAAGATTTATCTTAACTAAAATTATTAGAACTGCTCGACTTTTTTAAAACTAAGTTATATGCCATTAAAGTCAACAAATAAGAAATTTCTGAATAGTAAAATTACCCAATGATTAAACACTCTCAGATTGAAGCAATTGCAATAATTACCCTTAATATTCACTAGAGTTGAACTTCCTTGTTATTTAACCGTGGAAGTTATTCAACTTCTTTACAACTTAAAATAATTGAAAATAAATAACTGAAGTTTTTGTGAATTATTATGATTTTCAAATAAATATTGTGGTACTTTCTCAGTTGTGTGATATTTAATTATGTTAGACTTATTTTTTAGGGAGCTATGACTGTTGCACAGGTCAAAGAGGCAGAAATAGTTGCCAATCAAGCAGTTAGAAAAAATGGAGAAGTATTTGCTAAAGACACCCCTTTACCTGAGGCTAAAGCAATTCAAGGTTTAAGAGCAGTTTTTGGAGAGGTCAGTTATTAAGGTTAGATTATTTTATTTGCTGCTATAGCTTTTGAATAAAATGCTCTAGAAGTTTTCTTTACTTTTTTGAAATTTTGTGTAAACGTTAGTCTTTTGTAATGCATAACTTATCTTTAAAAAACAAGTATTTTTATTTATCCTCTTAAAATTCGCAAACTGTGTTATCCTTGTTTAAGCAAAGTGATTTTTCTATTTTAACTGTTAGTTTTTCAGCTTTGCTTCTGAACCCGATTATCCGACTTTCGATATGCTGTTCATCCAACACCTCTTTTGACATACATTTCAACATTATTTCTGCTAATGTTACCCAATTATTGATTAATTTTTTAACCTTATGTCCTCAATTCAATTCTGTTAAATCTGATTACTGTTGTAATGATGATTCCATAATTTGACTGATAGAAAACATCAGTTAAGATGCTTAAGCGTATGCCATTATTTTTACCTGACTACTAAAAATTATCAATGATCATTCAATTACTAGTAGCAACCAATTGGCATTACAACCATCATTAACTACCATAATATTACGGATGATTGTTGTCGAGTAACCAGCCTTTACCTTAGACCGCCCTCTACCTGTACTAAACAGAAAACAAAAAAATTATCAATAATTTTTTCCCATATTTCAATCTAGTAGGATTATAACCATTATGCTTGTGGCTATTTAATGCAGTAATTTAATATTTATGTACACAAAATTTATTTTAAAATCATTTATTTTCTGACATTCTCTCGATTCCTTGGGCGTCAATCACTATGTATATATATTATAGACCTTAATAGCATTGCACGTTATGGATAACTTTACTTGTTCTTTTTTTATTCAGTCTTTGTAGTAATTAATTATTTTTCCCTCCAGTTACTTAGACTTATAGTTATTTTTTTCTAAATAATAAATTAAAATGATGTTGATGTAAATTGTCAAACTCTGCTTGCGAAAAATAGTCAAACCCTTCTATAGTGGACACTCGGTTGTCGTGACCTTTTTTTAGTTGTCTCATCCGCACTGCCATTTAGATAATGTTATTTTAAATACACATAGTGAACAGCTGAGAATTTGAATTTCATTTTCGTAAGTTTTTTTCTTTTCTTCAGTTATCCAATTTTAACTTTGCATGTGTACACGGCTCACCCCCAAATACGACTTCTTAGTTACATCTCATAAACCAGGGCATTATTCGTAGCCTAAAGTTGCACTATAGAAAACAACTGGTGATGCGTGTTTTAAGAACAATGAAGAAAACACGAACTCAGCTAGAAGCAGTCATTTTGTAAGAAAAATCATGTAGGCAAGTGACACCAATGATAATTTGCAACTGTTTCCGACACGCAGTTCTTTTGATGGCTTTAGAAGAAAAAGAGACTCCTATGTGGAGAATGAAGATGATGATGATGACAATTTACTTCTCACTCTACGGCTTAAAAAACAAGGAATAGACATTTTTGTTAGAGATGTTGCAGAACAATTTGAATGTTGCAATGATGAAGTGTGCACTTCACCTCTGTCAGTGATAGCATAGTATTCAGCATCATCTAATATCTTAAGTAAAATAAGCAGTAAATATTCTGACTATATTTTTTCCTACAGAAAATTGAAGAACTCTACTTAAAATTAAATTGTGTTCAATCAAAAATGTAAAATTGAAAACAAAAATTTAATAAGGAAGTTTTTTTTCTCTTTGAAGTTGAATCCTTACTTTCAATAATTCAACTGAACTGTCAAAAAATATTTTTTTTAAATATTTGGATACTGTGAGTCATTGTTTATAGTGGACATTTTACTGGATCTGCAGACTGTTCACTATAGCGGGGATTGACTGTAGTAATTTGTCAGTTGGCATTGTTGTTTACGAATCATTTAATATTTACCAGTTTTTTAAGGGAAGGTCTGTTAAATAAAGCAAGAAATTTTTTATTGTAATTGAAAGTGGATTAAAATTATTTGGATTCCAAAATAGTAGTTGTCTGATCACATGGCTATTCATAGTAACATTAGAATAAGTGGTGAAAAGCATTTATCTGCATCTAGAAAATTAAATTCAATGTATAATTTAATATTCTGAAATGTCTTTTAGGTGTATCCTGATCCAGTTAGAGTTATCTCCATAGGCATATCAGTAGATGATCTCTTATCAGATCCTTCTGGTCCTGGGGGAAATGAAACATCTGTTGAATTTTGTGGTGGGACGTGAGTAGATGAGATTAATTATGTTTTTTTCCCATGTTTCATTGATTAAAAGAAATATATTACTTAGCTTTATTCTTTTCCCATTTTTAATGTTAAGTCTCTAAAGAAATATCCACTTATCTTAAAATGTTATAACTACTGTTGTAACTATTTGATAAAACCTGCTCACAAATTTAAAAGTTTAAATGTCTATAGAAAAACTTTTAATGTTTCCTGTTTTTTTTTTTTTTTAAATCGTAGATAATTGAATACTTGACTAGTCATTTGACTCATTTACAAACAATTAAGAACATGTATAATTTTGTATTTCATCTGTATCAAAGTAATTAATTTAGCTTAAGAATAATACTCTTAAAACTTTTATCAAAATATTGATAAATATAACATTTGCACTTGAAATATGTTATAAGTATTACTACAATATCCCATTTTCACCAAACTTTCAAACGTCTTTAGCGGATGTTTAGTTATCTAGCTTTAAATCTATTAGGATAATTTTTTAAAAAAAGTTCTTGCTCAAATATCTAAGTTATTACAGGTAGCTATAGAACACAAAATACTATATTTCGTCTGTATCAAACTAATTAATGTAGCTTACTTAATATAATCTTAAAATTTTTATCCAAGATATAAATAAATGACAAAATTTAACATTTGCACAATGAATATGTTATAACTACTTCTGCAATATCCCATTTTCACTGAACTTGCATCAGTCTGGAGCCTCTTTAATAGGTGTTTAGTTATCTAGTGTTAAATCTATTGGGGGAACTTAAAAAAAGTTGTAACACAAATATCTAAGAGTGATTACAGGTAGCTGTAGAACACAAAATTTTATCTAACTCCAAAATTATGAAATTTCTAATGTATATATCTTTCTGTTGCCTTCTACTTAATCTTTTAAAAAGCAAAGCATCTTCTTTCTACAAAATAAATCTTAATACTGAAACACCTCTGCTGTTCTTATTTTTTTTTTTAATGAAGAAAAGGAACTATGCTTTTCAAAGGACGCTGACTAATTTTCTTTCTTTGTTATAGACATCTAAAGAGATCTGGTCATATTGGCGAGTTTGTTATTTCTTCAGAAGAAGCCATTGCTAAGGGCATTCGAAGAATAGTTGCTCTTACTGGTCCTGAAGCTGTCAAAGTAAGTTTTTTTTCCCCTTGCACATGTATGTTTATCAATTTATGCTTTGAATTTTTATTTATGTTGAGTATGTAATTTGAAGTAATTTTCTTTTCTGTTTTAGGCCAATAAACGCTCAGAATTACTTCAAAATGAAGTTGAGAATTTAAAAAATCTAATGTGTGATAAAAGAGCTTCAATAAGTCAGAAAGAAATGGTCAAACGGATAGTTGATTTAACAGAAGTAAACACTTGTTTTTACATATCTACTTTATTTAAGACATTAATACAGTTAAGTTATTTTATTATAGATTTTAAAATACAAACTATGTATTTTAAAACTTCTTAAAACAGTCATTTTCGTACTAAACATTTTGTTAGTATCAATTTATCAGGGAAAAGTCTAATTCTTAGAACGAAATTCATTCATTTGAAAATTCATAGAGCAAAGATAAAGTGTTGTGATTCATTGAGTTTTTATTTTTACCTCTTTTGATTTATAATGGCATGGCATGGCATACTTTAAAAAGTACTTACCTTTATCTTTAACTCGTTTTTATTTATTTCTTATTGTGTACAATAGTCTCGATTATCGGAAACTCTGTTAGCTGAGATCAGTTTTGAAGTTTTTGTTCCTTTGTGCAATGATTATTTTTTTTATTTATCATTTTTTCAATCAATCCTTATGTTATTATAATCCAGCTATACACAAGACCTTCAAAGTAAAAAAAAAATACTCTTTATACTGCATGACTTCATAGTTGAAATCATTTTATGTGAGTACTGATTATTTCTATACTGTCAAACTGTGCAAAAAATGTTCCCCCCCCCCTTTTTTTTTTAAAAAAAAAGTGTAATAATGCTAGTGAATATTAAAATAAAATATCTCTTATACCTATTCAACAAAATTCACATATTTATTAGTCATATTATATTTATCGTAGGTATAACATTACTTCTTATCTTCAGTGTTTTGGATAAAAATAGATTGAATAATCCAATAATTCAGATTACACAGGCAACATGATTATTCTAAGTAGATTCAGTACTTTGGGTAATCATGTTCCTATTAACTTTTTTATTAATTATACTGTTATATTATGTAGGAAATTTCGCAGTCAAACATTTCCTATTGGAAAAAAGATGAGATGCGAAACAATCTGAAAAATCTCAAGAAACAGCTAGATGATTTAGATCGTGCCAATAAGGCTGCTGTTGTTCAAACTGTAAGTTAAATAGTTTTATTTTATTATTAATATATTTTATCAATTGTAAGCAATAATTATTTTTTTTCTTCCAAAAAAGATAACAGAAGAAGCAAAACATATGTTTGAAACTCAGTCTGAAAATAAAAACATTCCATTCCTTGTTCATGAATTTGCTGCTGGATTCAATGCTAAGGTAGTGTGACAGCCCTCTTTTTATACCCATTGGAAATTTTTTAGTCACCTAAGTAATTTCTGGTCTTTGCTGTTTTCATTTATTTCTAGTACAAAGAATTCATTTTCTGTGATTTAAGTGTTCTTAACAATACTAATATAATATTTTAAATTTTTTAATTATACAAATTGTAAGATTGAAACAGGTATTTAAGATATTTTTCCTCCTTTTATTCATTGAATTAAACTAAGCTTTCAAAGAAAGGAGAGAAGACATTACAACATTTAATTATACAAATTGTAAGATTGAAACAGGTATTTAAGATATTTTTCCTCCTTTTATTCATTGAATTAAACTAAGCTTTCAAAGAAAGGAGAGAAGACATTACAACTAACAACGTATCTAAAGGAAGTAAGATGTTTCTGTAAGATTTAATATTAATATATTCAGAACCGTAATAAGGATTCTTTCTACAAGGGAAAAAAAAACTTTAAAGAAATTAAAATAGCTCTGAAACCGAAAAAGTGAATTATAAATTTTTCAATCAATCCTGTAAAAAGAATTTAACGTTTTATCTTAGTATCATTTTACACCAATTATTTTATCTGGTTCCTTTACAAGATATTTTTTTAAGTGTTAAATTTTTTGTCATGGCCCATACCATTTTAATGTAGTCTAAATTGGTGATTATATTGTAAAATTTTTTATTCTTATCTCTTTCAACTTTAGTATTGTTGTCTCATAGAGATTAAATATGATTTCTGTTATTACAGGACCTTTGCAAGTACATAATGTCTGTTTATGGTAAATATAGAATGTGACACTTTTATCGTCACTCAAAATTAGAATCGCGAGATAAGGTCTTGAAGATCTCCAAGTCCACAACCAAATAAAACTATTCTGGGAAATCTCCATCAGCAAACATTATGCACGATTACGACGAATTGAACTACGATGAACTATAATAATAATAACATTTATTTACATAACAGAGGTAAGTTCACACAAGCTGCGGAAGACCGCAGGCAAACCTTTTACATGACAATCACGACTACAACTACTGTATTACAACAAACTTAGAGGAGGCAGCCGGTAGCTGCTTACTTCGCTCCTTTTACATTGGAATGTGCGCCAAAGCGCCTTGTGCAAATTAATTCGGCACAAACATTAACTTAAGTACAGATAGAGTGATTCATATAAATCATTAGGTTGAAATCTTACTATGTCGCCTTATCTTGGGACTAACTCGAAAACTATAACTTTTTGACTCGTTATCTAAAACTTTCCACAAATCAGTCATCAGGCAAAAAAAATTATATAAAAGCAGCTGAAGGAAAGGCTTGAATAATCAATCAGAAAGGGGACTCGAGAGCAGTCTGAACTTGCTTAGAGAATCTACTGAAAGTTTATTCAATAAAATGCATTCTTAAAACAATTTAATTAAAATGTTATGATTATAATATGCTGAAATGGCTTAATTTTGAATTAAGGTTACTACAGTTGAACCTCATTAATGCTTAACATGAAACTCATGTTTGGTCCCGAAAGTCAGCGATTAATTATTGTTGTATTTTACGAATTACAGTAAAATTTAAGGCTTTTTTTTTTTAATAGAATGAAATCAAAAAGCCATCCTAATTCTACACCAAAATTAGAGTATTTTAAAGCTTTGTCATTTCTAACTTATTCTATCTCTTGTTACTTCAATTGCATATTTTTTTCCCTAAAATTAATGTATCTGTTTTACTCAATAGGCTTTAGATGCTGCATTGAAGCAGGCAAAGTTGTACTCACCTGAAACTGCTGTGATGTTTTTCACTAGAGATGCCGATGCTGAAAAAGTGTTATGTATGAGCTCAGTACCCCAGGTATTCTAAAATACTTTTATGGAATAAAATTATTTTTTCTATGACATAATTGACGTTTTTATCACCTTATATCAATTGAAATAAGTAAATTTACTTAGGTTTAAAACCTTACACATTTAGTTCTCAGTGACATACATACATGTTAGTTGTTAATAGAAAATATGCAACTTTTTTTTATTTTTTTTTAATTATAAAATTGGCAGAATGTTTTTCCAATATTTTTGTATAAAACCGCATTTGAAGTCTTATTGTAATTTGGATAAACTTTCTCCTGAGTAAATGCTCAAACTGTAAATAATGATAGAAAAGTTATTTCTTTATTTGAATTTATCTGGGAATTAATGTAATATTCATTATTAAATAGTTACTAATACAATATAATGTTACCTTTTTCAAAACAATATTAATTGTTAAATAGTTATGCTTTAAAGCAACTAAGAACTTGATAAAACTTATCTAGTACCAAATGGTACAACATTTACAGGTGGTTTAAAAATTAATATTTAGTTACTTTTTTTACATTGGGTTATCTCATCTGTGCTGATATAAATTTGTATCCCGTTATAAAATATTGCCTTAAACAATTTTTGAATTAATTCATGTCATCAAAATTTATATAATTCTTTATTTGTTCTTTTAAAACTGCAATGTTTTATAATTAAAATGTTTCCTTTTTCTCTAAACTTATTTATAAAATGAAAACTGGTGGTTTAAGTTTTTAGTGTTGATTATCTTAATTAGTAATTAATCTTATTTCTTTATAGAATGCCACTTCTAAAGGGTTGAAAGCTAATGAATGGGTTCAGCAAGTGTCTCAAGTCATTAATGGTAAAGGTGGTGGCAAGCCAGAATCTGCTCAAGCCACAGGAACTAATACTGGTGCAGTAGACGAAGCTAAAAATATAGCAAAAAAATTTGCCGAAATGAAATTGAGCTAATGATAGCAGTGCTATTTAAAGTACGGACCATTAAATAAAGATTTAAATTATTTATACCTTTGTGTTTTTCTCTGAAATATATTGTCACTATCAAGTTTAAATGCAATTATACATACTTGATACCTAAAATGCATTTTAAGTTTGTAGGAAATAATCAATAGCATGTGACCATCGCATTAGTTTTCTGACTCGTTGTTCCTCAATCACCCCACACTATTTACGGAGAGTTTAAATGCAATTTTACAAACATGACACCTAAAGTGAGTTTTAATTTTGAAGAACATTATAGTTTCTTTATCATTGCATTAGTTCTCATTATTCCTCAACCACCCTATACTATTCTCACGTAAAATACACTATTGTTGAGGGTGGAGGGTCGATAAAACACTAATCACACACAGGTCTGCAGAAAAGATCTATATAAGGTTATTTTGTTTTTGTAAAAAGAAATCGATAGCTAAGTTTTCTTACCGGATATATATTTTCACTTATGCATAAACTAAATCTAAGCCTTCAAGGCAAAAATACAGTTTTCAACTAATACAATAAGATCAATGCTTTCAAGAAAAAATTAAAATTTTAGTACAACAAGGGAGTGTTTTCATTGCAGAAAAAAAAAATGGGAGAGAATTTCTCACCCTTTCTCAAAAACAGGGTGAGATTTCTAAAAATTAAAAAAACGCGAATAGGCTTGGAAAAAATTATTTCTTTAATTATAATTCATTTGTAACATCTTCTAATTGAATATTTTTGCTGCATCATCATATGGAAAATGTTCTATATCTACTTTTTCATCGGCTATTATATTTATTTGGCTGAAAAATATCCGTATTTGTTTCGTTTTGACCGTTTCTACCGAAATCTGTTTCATTTTCATTTGTCTGTTACGGAGTAGAACAAGGTATTTGTCCGTCTTGCATGAAGAAACCTTACCTACGGTGAACACGTGGTTGCAGAGAAATGTGTTTTGTTCAGGGGGGGGGGGGTGTTCTGCTGTTCGCACCAGTTATGAACGATACTGGTAAATAGGGAAGCTAGATAACAAGGACCGATGGTCAAAATAATGAAAGATCAAGGAAGAAAGGTAAGACGAAATTTTTCCCAAAATTCGCACATTTTGAAATAGATTAATAGAGTGTGCAAACTTCTCGCGTTAATCCTTTTTTATTGCGAGAAAAGAAAAAAAATATGCGAGATTCTCGCGCTGTAGTGAAAACACTGCAAGGGCAACTTAAAAATATTTTTTTCTTTATGTGGTTTTATAAATGCTGAGAACATTGATATGAAAAGAATAACAGGCTTAATTTAGGATATCTTAAATAAAAATTTGCTTTGGCTTTTAATCAATATTATCGTACAGAAGGGGATGTCTGTGCAGGGAATTGGTAGATTATAAATTCATTTATTAAAAATCAAACTAATTAGTAACAACCACAGAAGTAGAACTATTTCCCAACAGGGTTTTGGACGTCCTGAAATTTACTTCAACTTATTAAAGGAAAATAATATAATAGGAAAAGGTTTATAATCTTTGAAGCTCACACAATTCATTGAACAACATAAGTGAATACCTAATCCTTTAAATATGCTTTTAATACTGATAATGTTTTTGCATAAGGATAAATAATGCAACATAAAAAAAAAATGTTATAATTTCTGCATCACAGGATCATAAAAATAAAGACATTATTTTAAAAAAAATAGTTTTTAAATATAAATATATTAGTTTAAATTGGAAATACAAAATAATTGAAAAATGTATTAACAGTTTTAAAGGGCATAACATCAGTTTCAGTTACTGACACTGGTGATGTATCACCACTATGCTAAAAGAATTGAACATGAATGAAATTAAAGTATTCTTGAATAGTACTATAGATAAATAAACCTGTTTATGACTAACCAAGCACTTACTCCCTAATAGCTAAACCAGTATGGCAAGGTTAAAACTTCAGTTATGTACTATTGAACTTTATTACTGATTAATCTTCCTTTGTTTAAATTGAAGAGTCAAACAATATTAATAAAACATACTTTTAAAAACAAATATTCTCTAGTAGATTTAATTATCAATATGTTATTAGTTCTAAGTTCATTTTACCTTTTAAATATTGTTCAGATAAAATTGTGACACAATTTGAGCAAAAGGGTTTTGGATACGACGGTTTAAACCGTGGACTAATCCATTCTGTCCTAAATCTTGCCAACCCTGATTTTCAAATCTAGAATTAAAATCAAAATTCAATGAACATTTATATGAAAACAGTAACAGACATATAATTTGGGATATCTTGAATAAAAACTAAATTTGGCTTTTAATCAATATTATCGTACAGAAGGGGATGTCTGTGAAGGGAATTGGTAGATTATAAAGTCATATATTAAAAACCAAAATAACAATAATTAATAACTACCGCAGAATTAAAATCACAATTCAATGAACATTTGTCAGTTTTAGATTACTACTTAAAAAGAATATCCCCATTTTTACATAAAGATTTTGTTACATATTTCTTCAACTCGTCTATTGGAAACTATTTTCGGTTAAATGAAATAAAGCACTCAATTCGACTTAATCTTGCTCCTGCTCTAACACCTAGAATCAGATATGTTAAAGGCATATCCCGCTCAATTCAACTGCAAATTCCAACTTCCTTCCGAAATGTTGATCTACCAACCACTGGTGCCTATTTACCATTTAGCACTTTCAGACGATTCTTTGATAAAAACTGTTTATAAACATTAATTCACGTCTCTGCTTGCATTTTATAAATGCTTTTCTTGAATTCAAAGTAGAAAAATGAATATTTATGCACCTAGAGCAAGTTCAATTATGTAAGGTGTCATAAGGAAATGAAAAAAAAAAAGAAAACTGTGGTGTAAAGTAGGAGGGGGGGATAATTCTTTTTTTTTTTTTTTCTTGAGAAAAAAGAAATATCGGAAAATAGAAATCGCGTAGTTAAGTTTTTCACGCAAACAATCTCAATAAGAGTAGCTTTTCAAGTTCAGAGTAGCTTTTTGAGTTGCCACTCAAATCTGGAGAGAAAAAAAAATTCCCTGTGTTTTCCCTGCACTTATTATACACAATATATTAAGAGAAAACAACAATTACTGTTTAATTGCTGGGAAAACGGCTGAACATACTTAAATAATGCTATAGTAAATGAAATAGTTTAGTATAACTGAAATATCATGGTTAAATATCCCATAGATTACGCTTTGAGTGGTCAACATTTTTTAAAAGAGAAAAATAAGAAACAAAATTCCCTGTTATTTTAGGTGATTTTAAATTCTCTGTATTTTACAGATTTTCCCTGTGGTGTGGCAACCCTGTTTATGCATAGTTTTGAAAATCCCCCTGACACTGAGGAGGTGGTCAAGGTAATACTGCACTTGACCACCTTGTGTAATCCATAGAAATAAATTCAAAACACAATTGGAATTTGGTTTGCAGTATGCTGCTCCATTTATTAACATAAATAAACATAATTTAAGGCACTCCCATAACATTTCGCCCTTTGAATGTAACTGACAGAATATTCTATACCAAGTAATGTGTTGATCGGATCCCAGCAATGTTGGGATCTAATTGTGCAGCGGGCAATAATTTATTCCACCCCCAATCAGGGTGTGTGTCATACGAAGCAGTAGGATATCTAATATTTTTAAAAACAAACACAGTATCAAAAAAATCTCCAATATCAGCACCTTGATAAACATTGAAATTTAGCAGTTAGAAAAAATAAATGCATTTCCCTTGGAACTTTAAATAACAATGATTTGTTACATTTATTAGGCAAACAAGTGCAGTTCCAAATAATCTATATCCCAGTTTTACATAAAATGGATAATCTGTCAGTCCTCCTGTATAAACACCTTGTCCATAATAATATTTAGCACCAGTAGCAACAGGAATTTCTGTTGAAATGCACAATAATTCTTTAAACCTAATTGCAAACCAATTTATCTTCATAAAATTGTACTGTTCAACATTACTAGCAAATGCAATATTCTCACCTATGAAATTTGCAACTTTAATCTGTCTGTAGAAATGATGAGCACTGTCATGTGTTGAACATTTTTATATAATCTTTATCTCACAATCACGAGTTGTCACTTTAACAGTATTACACATTAGATGGTCCTGCAACCGGCGATGACGGACGAACTTAGATTTCATGAATTTCCCCATTTTCGACTAGCACTGATAACACGAGCTCAGGAGCGCCAACATTTAAACGTTCCGTTTTTTTATGCGGCTCATGATAGAAATCATACTCGTTCATTCTTGCTTGTAAAGCTGACAGAATGTTCCCTTTAAAAACTTCCTCCAAACGAAAATTTGAAGTACAAAACACTTTCCTTGGCCTAATTTCTATTGAAGAACACTTAGTTTCAGCTTTAAAAGGATAAATATCAGTCCATATTTTTAGAAAAAAACCGAGCCGCGTATGTGATGGCCCCACATCACTAAGTAACACAGCTTCCTCATTTTGATATCCATCCCACCATTTATTTAACGATTTAATAAACAATGATTTTATCTGACGAACAGCATAATCTTTTCCACAACGTGGCGGACCACATAGCCATACGCCACACGATTCCTTTAATTGCTCCACTGAAGATCCTCCAATAGACTTCTTGTACCTTGTAACTGTAGGTGAAAAACATCTATACTCCTTGAACGTGCCATCTTTCTTACCATAATTCGCAGCTTCCTCAGGCGTACCACGAGCATTACCGCGTCGATGTTTGAAGGCGTAACCCTGACGTAAGTTATAAGTACTGCTTTTAGCACTACTTTTAACACTATTGCTTTCAGGAGTCTTTCTTTTTCTTTTAATCTTTGTAGTACCACATTTCTTACTTGTGCTTCCAGCACCACCTTTTGTTCTAGTGCTTGCAGCACCACTTTTCTTACTAGTGCTTCCAGTTCTTACTAGTGTTTCCACTACAATTTCTTCCACATTCTGAAATATAATATTTATTTGTAAGTAATACAGTGAAACCTCCTGTTATGGACACTCCTGCAAAACGGACGCCTCTCAATACGAACATATTTTTAATTCCCCGGGAATCTTCTATGAATAAACCATTATGTACATTCTCCCCAAAGCGGACACTCCCGTAACCGGACGCGGACAGTCATTTTGATCCTGAAACCTTGTTTTTTATCTCTACAAACCGGACACTACTTTTTCTAAATAAATTGCAAGCTAAAAAAATGCAACTTTTCACCATTTTTAAAGCATGTAAATAAAACTTTTTGCCTTATCCATAACTAAAAATATTGTTAAGCTATTTCACCAGCGAAAAATCAATCTTTCTCCTGTCACCTTGCCTTATCTTTGTAAAGAAAGGAGAGAAAATGGTACTGCACTCCTGAAATAATTCTGACATCGGCATCTTTTGATCTTTTCATCTGGACCACACAGGTTATGAGACCCCTCAAGTTGAAATGACTTCTCTCAATGCTTCTTCCCCATTGAAAATTTCTTTAATTTTCTTATCAATTTGAAGACTGTATTTAACACAACTGGGGTAAAAAAAAGAGAACAGAAGTATAATCTTTGAGGTGTTTATATAAATGAAACATTTATTCAGACACTTGATAGCTGATCAATTGTGAATAATCATCTCCATAGGTCCTCATGACTTACAGGTATGCATTACTTTTTTTTCTGTGAATCATGGGAGGTTTATTTTCCAAGAAGGTATTAACCATGTTCCCTATCAAATGATAAGTAGGTGTAAGGGGATGTGAACCTAATAATTGAAACGGACTGAGGACAGTACGCTCCTATTTGGTATCATATGTCTAACTTGAGTATCTATGCTAATAGGAAAATTATATTTATTTATCTGTAGCTACATCCAGAATTATGTATTTATATCAAACTTCCTTATATATTCTTTTTTATCATTCTTATTGCTTAAATAAATATTCTTGTAGATATTTACAGTATCCTTGGAGATATTATTTAATTATTTCTACATCTTTGAGAATATTCTAAAAACAATTTACGGTGTTAAATTTCGTTATTAGGGTACCCTTCCCGTAAGCGGACAACTCTCATAAACGGACAAAGTTTTTGGTCCCATGATTGTCCGCTTAACGGAGGTTTCACTGTATAATCAATAAAAAAAGACTGGTTCATAATTGCAAAGCTTAAATTACACTTTTGATATTATTAAACAAGCCGAGATATTTCAAAAATAAAATATTCCTTTTTGGTAGGCTTACATACTACAAACATAAGGTGAAACCCGAAATTGGGGTAAGAAAGGAAATATTTTTCTAGAAATTGTCACTTACAAGAAGAACTATTGGAAAAAATAAGTAATATTTAAATGCTTTTTTTCTTTTCTTAAGTCCACAATTGCAAATGTTTCTGAGTGTTATACTTAAAAACTCTTGATCAGTTGTATGTATATTCTACAAAATTCTCATTTTTATCTTTATTCTATTTAACTCATTTTTATTGCGGTTGTCAGGAGCAGGCATTGTAATGGAACATGTATTGCAGTCGATATACGAGTCATTGACTTCAGAAGATCTTATTCCTAACAACCAATGTTTCCCTTAGATAACGAGAAGCAGTTAACCCCAAGAGGCTTCATTGAACCTACTTGTAGGACATTCAAGAGCTTCCAAAACATGCATTTTTGATTTAGTAACATCTTATAGGTCAACAGAATAAAAAATAAAAAAAAAATGGAAAGGTTACCTATCTAGTTGTTTAGGGTAACATTCTTTAAATGATTGGATTATTCCAAGATTCAAAGGCTGAAGCTTGTTGTAAAAAATTTCACTCTTAAATTTTACAATTCAAAGTATGAATTAGGAGTTATTAATTTTACAATAGGAGTTTGAATTTCAAACTCCTATACTTTTTTAACCACCCTTCCCATGCTTCTCATATCCCTTCTGATTTAGAGGGAAATTACCTCTCACAGTCTAAAGGACAATAAAATAGAAAGATTGTCAGAAAAGCTAATGAACAAGAGGAAGCTAATGAAGTGACTTGCAAAGAGGACAACACATAAAACCGGGGTTTCAGTGTATGCATGTATACATACATTCAGAAATATATCAAATTATTCAATACATCTATCCCCTTTTCCCTAGTACACTTTTTACACATTAACAAGTAACATCAACATAAAATAACAGATTTTAGAAGCAATAATCTTTAGGTTATGAGTAAAGTTTTGATACATCGTGCATAATCAAGTCAAAAAAATTTTTTTAATTAGATATTATAAGCACTTACATATAGAGAAGTAATAAACATGTACATAAATCTTAATCTAAAGATTTTTTAAACCATTATTTATAATTGCTTAAATTATTAACATTCAATATACTGCAGTACTGGCAATAGCACTATATGTTAAGGAATAAGAAGTATTTTTGCCAATAGCAGATATTTTATTGCCAATTTTTTTTAAATTTCTTCAACAAATACAGAGAAATTTGTGAATATATGGGTAAACAGGAGATGGTCGTAAAATATAGAGGTCCTTGTTAAAAAAAAAACAGGAGACTTCACAGTTATGCTTTATGCCATATTACGTTAACCCTCATTCATCGGTTTTTAACATCCATTACTTGCAATGAATGGTTACACATGAAAAACGTTAACTGTTATATTGTTTAGTACAAACATAATAATATGCAGAATATAAGATAATATTCAGATCGTAAAAGCATTTGACAAAGAAAAAGTTTTTTTCACCTATAGTATGCTCGTATGTGATTTCAAAATGCAAATTAGATATGAAATTAAATTTGTGTCTGATAAAGTGTCAGAAAAAAGTTCCTGAGTTTACAAAAAATAAAAAACAGCAGAATAATTAATTAAAAAGAATAATAAATAATAATACAAGAACTATTGTGATACATTATTTTTTATAAATAACAAATGAATGAAAATGGGTAATAATTAAAAAAAATGGGTGCCTATTTTTGAAGCACTTGTAACTTGTCTGTTATTTCCTATTTGTATGTTTTTGAATAATAATGAAGCCTTATTTCAGCTAATATCTAACCATTTCAGTTTCTTAGGATTACTTATTTAATTATTTTAACAATTATAATTAGTTATTATAAATGTTAAACTAATAATTAGATCAGAATTTTCCTTAAAAATGATTTTTCAACTAAAATCAGGTTAAACATAAGACACTGTTTAAGTTATATATCCATACCTGACTTGACAAAGAAGATTCCTCATCACTTTCCTCCAAGTTTGAAATGCTAGTCTCCCCTTTGCCAACATCTTCAAGGAATCTTAATGATTGGAAATGAACCCAATTCTGTTTTCTGTCATATCTTATAATCCTTTGGAATGTAGACTTTAACTTATCAAATTTATATTGCAACTTTTCTAAACAGAAAAGAAAGTAAACTAATAATAAAGACAATAAAAAGTAAGTTAACAAACACATTCACAAATTGGATTTTAAAAAAAAATTTATTTATATACAAGGTGATTCTAAAAAGACGGGCAAAATTTTAGGAAGTGATAGTACACACCCAAGCGAACAATTTTTATCAAAGAATGCATGGTCGAAAACAAAACGCAAAACCACTAGAGGGCGTAAAAGTTTATGTTCTTATATGGGACAAAAACACACAAAGAACGATGAAGTTGAGTTATAAAAGTAAATTTAATGGCATGTGATTACAATAAGTGTTCAAAACAGTGGCCGGCATCGGCTATGCACGCAGTACGCCGGCGAAGAAAAGATAGGCGAACATTCTGAAACACACAAAGCATATCACAAACTTTCCCTGCACCGGCCGAAAGCTAAGCGACAAATAAAGCAGCGCAGTAACTCGCAACAGGAATGGAGTTTGCATCAAAAAACTTTCCAAATGAGCCAGCACCTTTGCGTTTTGTTTTCGACCATGCATTCTATGATAAAAATTGTTTGCTTGGGTGTGTACTATCACTTCCTAAAATTTTGCCCATCTTTTTAGAGTCACCCTGTATATATAGAATGAAATTTGAATCTTAATGATGGTGCAAGTGTATATTGGCTTAATGGTAAAAATGTTACAGGTTTGGTAATAAAAATAAGCACCTATATTCAAGGCTGTCACTGGATGAAAACAAGAAAAATAGTTGCTTTAGTTGCATCATATATGAAAAAAAAGTCTAAATAGTCTCCAAGATATATGAAATAGTTTCCATATATCATATCCTCCTCTAACATAATTTCACTTATTTGTGCTGTAATAGTATAAAATTCAAATAATATGCAGTTAGATACTAATATTTAATAAAAAATGTACATTTATTTGTGGATTTGCCAACAATATATAGATAAATGCTGAAGGAACTGCTGTAGAAAACTTCCAAAGTTTTTAAGCATTTCAAAAATATCTATTTTTAGATATATTCTTCATGAGGCATAATGCTTCAGATATCATATAAGAAACAATAGTTGTAATAAAAATATAAAAAACATTGGAAAAAAAAGAAGCTAGGGACTAAAAATTTTAGGAACGATAAAAAAATGAAGTAGAAATGACATTTATTTACTTTCATAAATTTTTTTTAGAGCTCATTCTAGGCAGGGTAAACAGGGCACAGCACCCTGCTGCCCTTTTAGTCAAAAGAATCCACCCTGTTGCCCTTGAAGCAAATTAGTGCCTTGATTTAATAGACTCCATACCCTTTTTGCCCTTTCCTTCCTTAACCCATTCTTAATTTTCCCCCCAAACTCTACAATGGATTTCTTAAACTTTTGTTATTTTCAACTCTTTTCATTTGTCATTGCTGTCAATACATAGATTTATATGGGAAAGGAAAAATAGCCAACACACCTTCTTGTTGCACTCGTCTTTGAAAGTTTGCAGTTACTTCCACTATCATTAAATCATAATTATTATTAATCATTTTAATTATTAAATCATAACTACAGACACTTAAAATACATACATTTATTATTTTATTAATATATGCATGCATTTTAAATAAATTACTAAGCTAATTAGCTCATTAACTCTACACATATGTAAATTTATTAATAAAAATTAGTAATTAATATGATTGCTTTGCTACTTTACTTAAATAATTTTAGATAATAATATGAAAGGAAAATTATTATAGATACAAATAAATTTAAATTAAGAATTTTATGATTGAAAATGAAGAGGGAAAAAAACACACAAGGTTGTATAAAATGTGAAATTTATTATTTTTCTTAACATTTTCTTGGGGCTATTAGTATAGAAATAAATTTAATTTGTTTTCCTTTTATGAACAAGTTTATTAATTTTAACAATTCAATTTCATGCTCTCTCTCTCTATTATTTGTAATTTTTCAGCAGCTTCCAATAATCCCTGAGCAATTCTTATTTGAACACTATCATTTTATTATGGCATTTTTTATAATGACATCATTCCCTTAAGTAAAGAGTCTACTGAGGACTGCATCTTTTGATGTTTCTCCGTTAAAACTTGAGCCTTTTTTTCAAGACTGTTAATCCCTTCTTTTTTTCTCTAGACTTTCTTTTCTCTTTCTGGAGCCTCTTTTAGCTCTTTTTCTTAGCGATGTAGAAAAACATCTCTTCATCGCTATTGCCGTGAGATAAAGTCAGACTAACTTTAACAAAAAGTCTGAGAATAGGATATTTAATTTTTCCCATTGAATCTCTTTCATAGATAATCTCTCTCCAAAAATAATCTATTCATAATTTATTTATTCCATGATTGGCTACTACTAGTTGAGACTGCAAAATTAGCCATTCATCTCTGATTTGTAGATCGTCAATACCAAGAAGGGTAAGACACTTAGCAATTTCACGAAAGTAATTAAAGCCTTTTGGTTTGACGACTTCACCTGGTTGAAAACATTTTAAATATAAAAATTTTCTGGAATGCATATAAGTTTTCTTGATTAAATAATCAAAAGTAGCACAATACTGCTTCTGCATACAAATGAATTTTTGAATATAATTCTGATGAGAAAAAAAAAAATTTCAAAAATTTCTGCAGGAAGAAAATTTTTTACTTCCTAAAGGGAAAATCATTCTGCAAAAACATTCCTGCGATTATATCGCCATGATTTTGGTTCAGGATTATTAATATTATCAAGAGTTTAACTTTGTATTTAACATTTTGCTGAAACAATCGAAATCAGAAGGGAAAATGCTTGTATCAATCTTAAGATGTGCAGGTTTTTTTTCTACTCTACTCCAGTTAAACATGAATACGCAAGCAGACATAGAAACTGACACACTAAAAAGAATTCATGTTCTATCACATTCTGCTCCTCACACCCCCATTCAAAATTAATGAATTGAAAAACAGGTGCAGTTGCAATACTTGACTGAGTCATTATTCCGTTTTCTAGGCTGTCACTGTGCTTTTTAAAGGAGGAATAGCAGAAATGAGAAGATTTTTTAAAAAAAAGAAAAATAGGAAGAAAAAAAAAGGAAAAGAGCCGAAATAATAGAAAAAGTAGGGAAAATAGGAGGTCTGCAGTCCTTGCAAACTTTAATATTCCAAATCGAACCGAACATCAAAACAAACCGATCCGAAATTGTAATTAACTGCTGGACCCTTATTCTTTCTCACTACGCATAAAAACAGGGATTTTTATTTTAATCTGCTACTGAACAGGTGAATTTCAAACTCTAATTTCCTTTCTTGGTTCTAATTTGCAGATGCTTAGTTTAGACATTTAAAAAAAAAGAAATATTGCAATTAAATTCATCTTTCCAGTGTTTATTTCTCATAACTAACGCATTTCCAAATATAAAGCTTAACAAAAAAATTACGACCAAAATTTGACAAAACGAATATAACCATGTACTTTTTTGTCTATTCTAAATCGCTCTAAAAAATTAACGACACATTTTATGTAATTAAAGAATTTTTTTTTTAATTTTGCTACTTCATTCAAATTAAAAGAAGGGGGGAAACATAATCCTCAGAGATATTACATTAGCTTCCTGAAGCAGAAGGAGCATTCACATAGCGGAAATTCCAATTCCATTAGTCTGATTGGATAAACATGTCTGTCTTGCTTTTGACATCAAACAGTGACAGTGTTTTCATCTCAGAAAAAAATGGGTGAGAATTTCTCACCCTTTCTCAAAAACAGGGTGAGATTTCAAAAAGTTAAGTGAGATTTCAAAAATTAAAAAAAAAAAAAAAAAACACCAAGAGACTTGAAAAAAAATCATTTCTTTAATTATAATGCATTTTTAACATCTTCTAATTTTTAAAGCATTGAATATTTTTGCAGCATCATCATATGGAAAATGTTCTACATCTACTTTTTCATCAGCTATTCTCCACTCTAATTCTCATTAGGTTGCTCAAATGCGTATTTGTTTCGTTTTGATCGTTTCTACCCACATTTGTTTCATTTTTATTTGTCTGTTTCGGAGTAGAAGATATTGGCTTTACAAGGTATTTGTCCATCTTACATTAACGAGCAAAAAATTTGAACATCTTACATGAAGAAACGTTACCTACGGTATACATGTGGTTGCAGAGAAATGCGTTCTGAAAGAGGTTCCGTGGTTTGGAAGGATGGTGTTCTGTTGTTCTTAAAGGTTCTGAACAATACTGGTAAATAGGGAAGCTAGATAATGGGGCAGATGTTGAAAATAATAAAAGATCCAGGAAGAAAAGTGAAACGGATGTTATTATAAATGGCGCAAATGAGAAATTTTTTTCAAAATGCAAAAAATTCGCAAATTTTGAAATTGGTTTATAGAATGCGCGAATTTCTCGTGGTTATCATTTTTTAATGCGAGAATATAAAAAAAATATGCGAGATTCTCGCGCTGTAGTGAAAACACTGAGTGAGGAAGAATAAAATTTAGATAAAACGAAAAGCACAGCAAAAAATCAGGGGAAAGGGAAAACTCATTTCATTCTTGAAAATATTTTTCACTTTCGTCGCTAATAGGCTTAAAAAGTCGCCGATTTCGAACAAGTCATTACAAATTAGTTGCTTTTACTCATATTTCTACTAAAATAGTTGCTATTGCTTTAAAATTGTCGATTTATTTGCCTTATTTAGTCGCCAATGGCAGCCCTGTATATTGTTATTAGACACGTTTTAAATAATAAAACTGTAAAAAAACAATATTTTCTTGAATAAGTTCTACCAGAGTCTAATAAATGCATTTGAAATTTATATGCAGTTTGAATTATTATATGCCATGTAAATTATGTATATCAAATCCTCTTTGAATAATATAAAATCAACAGAAATCACACTATTTTTTATCATATATTTGTACACTACCAACATGAATATAGGAATCTTAAAAGATATATAAAAAATGTTCAATCAGTATGAAAGTAACAATACACTATTTTCAATATTTAACATCAAACTTGTTCATTTAACATTCAAAGACAAAAATAAACTAAAATAACCAATGGTGATATTAAAAAAAAAGAATATTTTGTCATTATAAAGTTAATGCAGTTGGTTTGGTTTTAAGTTTATTCTCAGAAACAAAACTGGGACTTAGTACTAATGAAATACAGTCAAAACTAAAAATTTACTCGTTGTGAATTCAGTGGCATGCTGAGGCCACTTCATTTTTAGTTTTTCAGATATTTTTTCAAAAGAAGCATTCCTTCGCACCCTATCCTTATGTTCAGGCAACTTTGTATTCCATATGTTTGGTTCCTTTTTAAAGAGTTTAATGAAAGTCCTCTCCATACCAGTACTCCACTTAAAGCTTTGACTCATCTTTGCTGTAATACACAAAAAAAATGTCTATTAAGAAAGGTGAAGAAAATGTATTTAAAGTAAGAGACAATAAAGAACAGACTCATTAAAAATAAAATACAGTGGAGTCCTGATTATCCGAGCTATCAAATATTTCGAGGATTTTTTTGTTGTAGTTTACTTTTAAAACTACCGCTGCAAAAAATTCTGAATTTTATCTTCAAACACTCAGAAAAACGAAGTCCTACAATTCGCACCCATGAAATGATCGTTAACATCATCAACAATGAAAATGAATCTAGTGAAGATGATTAAGACAGTGACGGTGAAAATCAACAAAGAAAAGTATTTCATACAGATGGACTAAAAGCTATCAAAAATGCTATTGAAAATTCATAGAACAAAAAGAAGAGGAGACACCAGTCTCTCTGTTATCCCTTAAAAGAATGGAGAAGCATTGATGCAGAAAAGCACTTAATTAAAGCAGGGTTAATGATTTTAAAAAAAAATAATAATCTGATTTTTTTTTATTCACATACACGGTAAGAACTTTGATTTATGACTAAAAAAAACTTCATAAATGGTTAATCAGAATTAAATTAATATTAGAGCTATATTATGAGAATATTTTTGAAGCTCCAACTACTTAAAACAATTTCTTGTAAAGTACGCTCGTTAAATGTTTTTAAGTAAGCTTTTAAATTATAATATGAATTGTGTATGGTGAACTAGTATAAATATTGTTTTTGGTGAATATATTACTGGCTTCAACTACGTTTTTCGATTATTCGAGTTAGTCGTGCTCCACATTAACTCCGATAATCGAGAGTCTACTATAATGCCAAGCAACTAATTCTGTCAGCATATTGTTAAGGTATAAGTAAGTTTTCAGAAAAGTTTACTTATAATAATACATTTTTTTCCTTTGTAAAAAAAATTTATTCTAAATCACTGAATTCAGTAAAAACTCTATTGTAAAAAATACTTGCTGCTATAATCTTATCGGAACTATAAAAAGAGCAAAGTAATTGAAAAAAACTGCATTCTTAATAATTAGCAGCCAAATAATTCGTAAACAAAAATTGGCAAACTAAACTCGATTTGGTGAAAAAATAGTTAAGACTTAAATTACACTAAAAAAAAATCATATTATGTTTGTGATAGTTAATATATACAGATGACATTGACAAATTAATCGCTATCGTAAGTACTTACATATAACCAGTAAAAAAATTTTTAAAAGAAACAATATTAAAACAAATAGAACTTAAAAATATATTAAAAACATAGTAAAAGTAAAATTTTCGAATATACTTGTGCTGGCGAAAAGAATGAGTACCGGACTTGTTTACTAACAACGGTTGGCGAATTAGGTGTGGAAATTTGTTTTACAAGGTTGGCAAGTTTCTATGGAGGTGGTTAAGACCATGGGTAGAAACCCTTTTCTGCCACACAAATTTGTGGCAGAAATTCAGAAATTGACATAAAAGTACTGAGATTTGACATACAATGGATAATTCATCGAAAAAAAACAATTAAATGTTAAACAAAGTACAATTTAATTACAAAATTATCATCATTCAAAATCAAATGTTACATTGCTTGCACTCTGCAGTAATCTATAAAAGAAGACAAGTTTTTAAGCAGTTTCTAAACCTAAACAATTTCTCAATTTGCTAAGCAGGAACAAAAAATTTGAGAAGATTCTCTCAAGTCCAGCAGAAAATAGCTCTATTCAGTTATGTTAAGAGTTAAATGATAATAATTACTGAATTTCAGAGTTTAATATAATAAACTAAAATCTAGTATTTATATGTATTATTACATTACTTTATTCTATATAAATATTTGATATACGGCACTCTTTATATTTAGTATAAACAAAATAATAGATATTTACAAACAATGAATTAAAAAGTTTGTTACAGTTACATTTTTCAGTTTACTTAAACAAAATGTCATTATGCAATTACTAGAACTAATATAGACGTTTCTTTATTTTCGGCCAGTTTTTGCCACAGGCATGGCAAAAACCAGCCCTGACTTTTTACCACATTCACATTAGAAATTTGAAAGATATTTATATTGCGTATGAAACAACTTTTACAATAAAAANCTTTATTTTCGGCCAGTTTTTGCCGGTTATAACCAGTTTCTGCCACAGGCATGGCAAAAACCAGCCCTGACTTTTTACCACATTCACATTAGAAATTTGAAAGATATTTATATTGCGTATGAAACAACTTTTACAATAAAAATATTTTTTATTTTGAATATAACTTCAATACTAACAATGATTCGTGACTTTGTGGAAAATCTTTCGACACATTCACATTTGAAATAAATTATAAAATGAAACCTCAGACAGTTTGAAATTGAATCTAAATTACTTATGAAATAAGATTAATATTAAAAGAAATTGATAAAAACTCACATAGTTTAGAGTGTGACAGTCCAGCATGCCCAAACAAGTCTGACAGTTCTGCATGCCTTCTCAAAATGCGCCAGATCATGCTATTGGTCGAAAATGACATCACCATCTCCCTTCTCACAAACAGTGAACAGTTAAATATTAAAAGTTATATTCAAAATAAAAAATATTTTTGCTGTTTCATACGCAATATAAATATCTTTCAAATGCTTATTGTTGCGTCTTTGTAGCTATTTTTAATAATATTTCAGTTCAGTAATAAAAAGAGTCGACATTAGTTATGATTATTATTTAAAAAAATAGAACATGAGGCACGTTCAACCATCAAGTGTAGTTGAAGTTGTAGTCATTTTATGTGTTACTTATAATCAATTGACAGTAAAAGTTGTAGTAAGTTATATCACACCACCCTTTTTAAATTTTGGCTGTTGCTTGGCTGACCGCCTTTTTAATGAATAGAGGCATTTGATTCGTCGTTTACATCATCGTTTTCATCGTTATCGCTTAATCGTTCTGTCAGGTTTACTAGAATGGCGTTTTTAGCATTTTTGTTTGGCGCAATCTTAATAACGCGCATGCTCAGTTTGATAATTTATTCAAACCAATCGAAGTACTTCGTAGACAATGAATATAGAAGCTTGTATCCCCTCCTTTGCTTGTGTATACTCAAACAAAGACATAAAGATGGAAAGATCAATCACGGTACCAAACAGATGTCAGGGTGAACTTTG